GCTTTACACAATTGATTTATGTATGGATTGTGATAAGAGTTGTATGAGCCCCTAATAAAACGATTAAAAACAAAACAAAACAAAAAAAACTTCTGTCAACACAGGACTATTTATTGCCCTCAAGAGTCTGGAAGGCAGGGACTCGGACAATGGCTACCAACAGATGAATGGTGGGATAAACAAACTGCGGTGCTGACGTCCAACGGAGTATTACTGAGTCTTCAAGAGAAATGAATCTCTGATACACGCTGAGACACACATAAATCTCGACACATTACCCTGAAATAAGTCAAACACAAAAAGATGAACATGATTTGATTCCATTTCAAAGAAATAGCCAACGTGTGCAAATCTATGGAGACAGAGAGTACATTAATGGCTGCCCAGGGCTGGGGAGGCTGGAAGGAAACGGCATAATCGCTGATAGGTATTGGGTTCTCTTTTTAGTGATGAAAGTGTTGTGAAATGGATTGTGGAGACAGTTATACAACTTTGTGAATATTCAATTCAGCGAATTCACTTTTAAAGGGTGGATTACATCGTACGTGAATTCTATCTCAATAAAATGGATTTATAAAATAAAACAAAATGTAAGCTTGATCTTTCCAAATAGTTTCAGTTCATTTGTCTGAGTAGGTGTGGACTGCAGGCCCTCCTCCCCACCTCCCAATGGTGTAAACAAACCAATGGCAGCACGTTTGAATATTTTGTAGGCAAATTGGCACATTTTTAAAAATTGTCACTGGTGTTCTTAAATTCATTCATTAATCAACATGCACTTTTCTTTCCTTTTTCTTTTTAACTGGCACATTTTGAAATAATAAGGAAAACCCAATGGCCCCATGGCTAAAGTGACCAGATTTTAACATTGGTAAAGCGGGACAAAAGCGGGACACCATTGATAAAACTCATATCCTGGTGAAACAGCCACATAGCAGCCGAAAACCGTATACCCTAGCTTGTCGTGCATTCTTTCCAAAAATCGGGACTTTTTTTAAAACGCCGTGGGACGCAGGAAAAATTGTTCAAAAGCGGGACGTCTGATCACCTTACCCATGGCACAGGGCAGAACTGCCTCTCCTGGTTTCTGAGGCTGTCTGTCTTTACAGGAACAGGCAGCCTCTGTGTTCTCCCAGGGAGTGCATGGCTGCTGGGCTAGAGCTGCAGACCTTGCGGTCCGCAGCCCCACCCGTCACCCCTGATACCCCCAGGGCACCTTGAATACAGAAAAAGGAGAGTCAACGTGAACTCTAGTTTCTGGGGTGAATTATTTAGGTATATTGCTATGACATTACCAAATGAGAAGTATGCAATAAGGAACAGGAATATGTGGGGCAATAAATTCAGAAGGTGGCATAACGAGTTCCAAGTATTTAAGGGTATCCAGTGAGAGATGCTCAGAAAACCACACCTTCTTTTCTGCATCAAGGCCCCCTTTTTGCCTCCCCCACACTCTTCGTGGCCATCTAGTTGAGGTACTCCTCTTGGTGCTGGGGAGCTCTGGTGGCGTAGTGGTCACATGTTGGGCTGCCAATCGCAAGGTCAGTTCAAAACCACAGCCTCTTCAGAGGGAGAAAAATGAGGCTTTCCATACCAGTGAAGAGCTACCATCTGGGAAGCCCACAGGGGCCATCCCACCCTGCTTTACAGGGTCACCATGACTCAGTGGCAGTGAGTCTGAAGTGGTTTTTTTGCTGGGTGTTGCCAATAGCACCTATGATGGTACGTATACACGAGTGCAGGGCTGGCTAACTTTTAAAGCGGAAGAGTCGATCCTGTCCCTCACAACAACTTAAAAATTATTCAGGAGTCATAAATATATTTTTACAAACAAATGCAATCACCATTATCTAAATAATATCCTTTTTTTCAATTTTACTTCAGAGCCATATGTGTGTTATCCAAAGAGCCACATATAGCTCTCAAGTCAGTTTGCCAGCTCCTGTTGCAATGGAAGGCCAACAACCTGCCAAAGAACAGGGGCCAGGCCTTCCTCAACCTGTATTCCACACTCCTAGCACCGAGGACATGAACACTCAGTATGAATACTGAAGTACAAAAGATTTCATTTGTTTGTAAAAATATATTTATGACTCCCCCGCCCCCAGGGGGAGGGATAGATACCATATGAAGGTGTAGCTAAGAGTCAAATGTAAAAAAATACCCAGGACTTCCAAGAGACAAGAAGTCTCGCCTAGAAAGGACAAAGGCCCGCATTGAGACTTCTAGTCTCCAGATGTATTTAGGGGACTTCGAGCAAGATGGTGATTAGGTAGGCAAGCTCCCCAGACCCTCTACACAGATGTCCTGAGAACACGTGAGACAGATACAGATGATTCTCCTGGTACCTGGAGCTTTAGAAGAAAGGGCTGACAAGTGGACTGAGTGTCAACTCGGAGAAGAAGCTGGACAAAATGGTGAGAAAGGACACAGAGCACATAAACAACAGTGGACCTGACACAGCATGACCATTTTGAACTTTTTTTCTTTTAATGGATGAGTTATTTATTTATAATTATTATATTACATGTTGGATAATAAATTGAAGTCAATGATTTCATGCCAGCAATGTTCAATTGGGACCACAACCTGATAATCACCTCTGCTCCCAGGACAGCGCAGGCGCCCACACTGGTGGCTGGCATGCAGAAAGCAACCATGCACACATGTACTTCCTACAGCCCACCCACTGGGTGAAAGCAACCACCCACTCCAGTACCACCTGATCAAAGGCAACAGCCAACACCAGCCAAACCCATCCTAACTGCGCTCCTCAGTGAACTGACAACTGTGCACATACTCATACTCTCCATCACACCCAAGAGACATGGAGTGTCTAAGAACACATCAAAAAGCAACCAAATGCAAACACATCACAATGTTCTAGAGATACGTTTCAGTTCACGAGAAAAATGATAGAGAAATGCCAACCATGAGACACCACCAAGAGGGTTAACTTACATGTGATTGACATTCCAGAAGTCTAAACCAGGAAGAAACCACCCCAAAAAGTACAGAGAAAACTGTCAAAGAGTTGTTGGAATGAGCTGTTACCCTCCAAGAGCAGTGGTTCTCAAAGAGAGCAGCAGCAGCAGCAGCAGCTGTGGCCCAGGAGCGCGATGATCAGGTTCCATCACAGGTAAAGAAGCGGGGGATTGGCCCAAGAAGGTGCATTTCTAACAGACTCATCTGCTTGCTTCTTGGGACTGAATGTAGCAAATGCTCGGTAAACATCTGCTGAATAGTGTATATCACCCAAAGAGGGTGATACTGTCCGCCCCCCCACCGGTGGTGGGCGCAGAGATGTCCAAGGGGACTGCAAAAACAACAAAAGTGAACCCACCCTAAGTGATGAAGTGCAAAAGACCTCAGATTACCTGGTCCCATTTATAAGAAATATCTAGAAAAGACAAATCTATCAGAAAAGTAGATTAGCTGTTGCTGGGACTGGAAGTGGGAATGAATAAAGGCTGCTAATGAGACAAATGTTCATGGAGGTGAAAGAAATGGTCTAACAATAGGATAGGGGTGTTGGCTGCACAGCTGTGGATTTATTAAAAATCAATGAACTACAGACATATTTTTAAAAGATTACGGGGTAAAACTTTAGGGCCTAGCTTTTTACAAGGGATTATTAAGATATGCCATCAAATGTTATGAACAAAAGACAAAATGGATGGATTGTACTTTATTAAAATTACAAACTTTTGTGCATCAAAGGATTTTATCAAGTGAAGTGACAACCTACAGACTAGATGAAAACATTTTTTAACTATATCTGATAAGGATTTTTTTAAAATTATTTTATTGAGGGCTCGTACATTTCTTATCACAGGATAAGGATTTACTATCCAGAATATATAAAGAATTCCTGCAATTCAACAACTTGAAGACAAACAATCCAATCAAAAGTTAGGCAAAAAACTTGGATAGACATTTTTCAAAAGATTAGCAAGTGGCCATCAAGTACACAGACAGAGGCTCAATACCACTAGGGTAATGCAAATCTAAGTAACAATGATGTACCATCTCACACCCACTAGGAATGGCTATGATTAAATAAATAAATAAATAAATAAATGGGAAAAGTCAGGTTTAAGATGTGGATAAATTGCCATCATCACCCATCACTGGTAAGAAACAAAATGGTAAATCTCCTAGAAATATGAATGGTAACTCCTCAAACGCTAAACACGTGTATGACCCGACCCAGTAATCCCCATCTCACATACTCAAAAGACTAGAAAGCAGAAATGCAAACGGAAAACCGGCATTCATGTTCATTGCAGCACTAGTCACAATAGCCACAAGGTGGAAACCATCTCAACGTCCATTAAGTGGATAACCAAAATACAGTATGTTTTATGCAGTGAAATATGAGCCCTGGTGGCAAAGTGGAGTACACACTGAGCTAACAGAAAGGTCATCAGTATGAAACCACCAGCCACTCCCCAGGAAGATGAGGCCGTCTTCTCCTTAACGGCATAGTCTCAGTACAGAGGGGTTGCTCTACTCCACCCTGTAGGGTTGCTATGAGTCAGAAACAACTCAATGGCAATGTTATTTTTTAATACAGTGAAATATTAGAGATCCATTAAGAAATTTAGTTCTACACAATAACTTAGATGAACCTTGAAAACATATTGCTGGAGTTAATCAATCACACAAAAAATTGTATGATCCCACTTACATGAAATTTCTGGAAATAACGAAATGTTCGGAGACCAAAGTTTTTAGCAGTTAGCAGGTGAGAGGGCGAGGGGGAGTCACTGCTTGTGGGGCACTAAGTTTTTCTTAGACAAGCTGGAATCATCTGCAAAGGGGAAGTGCTGATGGTTGCACATGATAAATGTAATCAATGTCACTGAACTGTATGTTTATAAAGTGTTGTTTTATCATCTATTGACCACAATAAACTTTCTTCTTAAAATTGTTAAATGGTTGAGGTGTAGGAGGGCTTTGAAGTTTAGTAAAATGTTTGTAGAAGTGAAGTTATCTAGATAAAGAACATGATGGAGATGATCCCACGAAGACTGGAATCAAACCGGTGAGCAGGAAGGGAAGAAAGGGCAGGAAGGAATTTGTAGGTGGATAATGGAAGAGGAAGCATTTGAGAAGGTGACTAGGGTAAGTTTCCTTTCCGACAAGTTGCTGCCATTTGGTTAAATGAGGGGGCTACAACAGTTCATGGAAAAAATGAAATTAAAAGATAATGGAATTTTTCCATGAACTTTTTGAAGTCCCTTTGTACATGAAGAGTCTATCTTGAACTCATCAAAGGGAGATTTAAAGATCACATTAGCACTGTAGAACTGGAGATCTGAAAATTATTAAGGCATAAAATAATTGCAAAGCAGAAGGCAATGAATTGGGTTTTAAACTTCAGAACTATAAAACAGCAAAGCTATCGAGCAGCTCAGAGTGGCATTCTAAAATCGAACCCCTTTCAAGTCCAGACTGGCTCAAACAAAATCTCAGTTCAATGTTTCAACTCGCTTGGTCAGATTTGCTTTCATCTAGGAGCTTCCCCCTGGATTGTTCCACTATCCACTGAGCGATGGGGCTCTTCTTTACCCAAAGCTGGTTACTGAATAGGCTTGTCAAAGGAAAAGACTATCATTCCCACATATCTGGAACAAGGAAGCTACATTTTATTGCTTGCAAATAATCTCATTGCACACAGTAAGAGTTGTTCTCATTACAGGGTTTTGAGAATCATGGAGTCCAGGGATTGGTGGACTTTCAGAAGCCAGCAGCCCTTACGGATTGGCTGATGGGCCTAAATCAGCTTACAGCAAGCTGCTACCGGCTGGGCGGGTTGACTGGCAGAAAGGGGGCACTGAAAGGAAGCTCTTAGTGATTGGGCCTGTTTTGGTTTCTTTAATCATTTTATTGGGGCTAACGATTGGGCCTGTTTCAAAGGGTTCTGCAGTTACCACTATCAGGCTGAGGGCTAGGGGCAGGGAAACGTTTGCCTTTTTTTTTTCTTTCTTGAACAGGAGAAAAGGAACTTTTTAACTTTCAACCGTCATTGCCCCCATTATCCCCTCATTACTATTACTGTGACCCACCCCCTCCAAAGCACACATTCTCTTAGAATGTTTTTTAAAGCAGCTTGCTAAATGCTTTAGAGACACCAACTGAGGGTAACAAAAACCAGAACACAGGTAAATGACAGAAGTCCAAAGCATGCTCAAGGGCCCTGCGACCCATTCCCGTGAGGCAATAGAGGCGTCTCTGCCCAACTCGTCCATTCCAAGAGCCCAGTGGACCAAATGACAGAGAAGTGGCTCGTTTTTTTTTTATTTATAGACCTACTACAGATATTGTGCCCTGTGTATTTTTAGTAAAATCTGTTTTCCCCATTAAGGACATCAGGCTGGTATAGCTGTTCCCATAGCATACAGCAGCTTATTGATCACCCACCACAGTAAAACCAAAGCAGTCCCCTGCCTCACTGTGACCCTGTAGGGAAGAGTAGAACTACCACATTGGGTTTCCAAGGCTGTCACCCTTAACAGGAGCAGTTGCTGGGTTACCGCCATGCCACCAGGGTTTCTGGCTCCTCCAGTGTCTGGCAAGTTACCTTTAATCCTAAAGTTTGCGGTCAACCAGACAATCCCACTGGTGTCCATGAGAAAATATTTTTTCAGAGAACTTAAGAGGTGGCTTTTATTGTCTGAGTATCATGACCAGTTCAAAATATTCTATCATAAAAACAATGCACTCCAAAAAGTAAAGTCATTCAGAAATACTTTGTAACCACAGTCCTGTGAAACCTAAATTCTAAAAGGATTTCACTTGGTCGCAGCACTGCATGGTGACCAGCAAGGACTCTGGAAAAGCACTGCCGGCCTCCAAAGCAGTAATGGGGAAAGTCACTGGGGCTGAGCTTCCATGTCTCAGTAACCTGTTGAGGATGAGTTAGCAGTTAGAATATAGGTACCAAGAGTTTACTGTGCCCTAACTACAAAAATCTAAATTATCTGGTGTACTGGGATCCCCTTTTCGGAGGATTCCCTGGTGGTGTAGTGGTCACAGGCTGGGCTGTGATCTGCACGGTTAGTCTCGCAGAAGGTTGGGCTTCCTACAATTAGTCTCCGAAACCCGCAAGGGGTCGCTATGAGTCAGCACTGGCTGATTGGATGGCGATGAGTTTTTCTGTTTCTGGATTATGAATTTCCTTAAGGACACCTGCGCTATATGAAAACTGGTCGCAGTTTGGGTTCGAATCACAGGTAGGTCCCTCCCTGGCCATGTGACCTTTCCCATTTCCTCACAGGTCTGGGTCAGCCAGAGGGTGAGTGGACGACAGGATGCCAGCGCCTGTCCTCGGAGGTGCTGCGAGCCCAGGTGCCCCACAGCTACTGCCAAGATGCCCCCAGCATCGCGAGCGCTCAGTGACAAGTCTCGCCAGGCTTTCCCACCCGGCCCTCGGCCCCTAACCCCAACCATCAGTTGCCATCGGACGTGTCCGGAGTCCACACCTCCAACCTAAGGTTGTCATTGTGGTCCGTCCGCCCGCCCGTCCGGCACCACCGCCAGGGCTCATGCAGACTCCAGAAGAGGTCACCTCGTAGCCCGGCCAGAGCTCCGGGGCCACCTGCACCACACTTTCACACGTCCTCGGCCCCAGACGGCCCCGTCAGCTCTCAGCCCGGGGCCGGCTCACTGAGGCTGCGCTCTCCTCGGGGGCCCCGCGGCCCGCCCCGTGCCCGCCACTGGCGCCATCCCTGAGCCGAGTGCCCGAGGCCGCGCACAGGCGCTGACAGTTACTGCTTCGACGTCCCGGCGCCCACAGTGGGCGGAAACTTTGTCCCCGGCGTCGCCGCGGGCAGGTGGACGGCCGCCGTCACCGTCCCCGTCCGGGTCAGCGGGGGTGGCGCCGGCCGCCCCCACACCCTGGGCCCCGACGGCACGCGCCGCGGACCGAGCGCCGGGGGGACGGAGCGCAAGAGGGCCGGGCGTGGCCGCGCGCGGGAAGCCGCCGCGGAAAGTTTCCGCGTGAGGGCCGGGCCGCACCGCCTTACCTCGCCGGCACGAGCCGCCTCGCCCCGCTGCGCCGCCCGGGCGCGGGAGCTGCCCGCGCTGCCCGCGCTGCCCGCTCGGCGACCGCCGCCTCAGCGCGAGCCCCTCCCTGGTGGCGACCCCATCCCTCCTCCCAGCATCGAGAAAGAGAAAATGGCGCTCGATCTGCCTCCGGAAGTGACGTAGACCTCATTTGCATGCCGGTGCAGCCAGCCAATCGGAGCAGAGTTTGCATTGGGACCCCTGGGCACTTGCACACAGAGCCCTTGGGACCCTGACCAAGAGCTCATCTGGAGGGCCTCAAATGGGGGTGGGAGGAGCTCTGTTGGGGCCCCGCCCCTGGGCCACTCCCCCTCCCCTCTCCCACTCCCCACCAGTGCAAGGGCACTTTCTTGCCAACATCTGAGCAGCATCTGCTCCCACTCTCGTGAGAGTTGAGCTGATGACATCATGAAGGGGGCGGGGAGATGGTGCCATCCACCACGTGATCCATCACGTGGGCTCGCATGAGCTTTGGCTAATTTGCATGGAATGGGGTGGAGCCAGGGCAGAGGCAATCATGGTAACCCCGCCTGTTTCTTAGAGCCAATCAGAGGAGGACTTTTGAGGGAGCCTTCCTGCCATTGGAAGGCAGAACTTCTGATGTCAGCACTTTGACAATGTGCCCAAGACTGATATTTGGGTGAGCTGGCCAGGTGGGCATCCTGACCTCATAAGTCTCTTCTTTGGAAATTAACGTCACACCTTTTCTTGAGAATGCTGCTATTTAAGCTAGATGTTTTGTAAAGAGAGGGTTAACTATATACATTCCTATGACTCTAAGTGGCCCAAAAGTTTGGTTCTGCCAGATTTTTTAAATGCCAAGCAATAATATTGTTTTTCTCATTGTGAATGAAAGCATGGAATAGGAGCCCTCATAATAGTTTGACCCTTCATGCTTGCTTGCTTGCTTGAACTTGAAACTGGGCAGGCCCAAGCGAGGTGTGAAGGGTAACCCTGCCTTCGTGGGGCTTAGAGTTCAAGGGACGACCTTACCTGGTGCGCACAGCCCACTTCAGGCCAGTACTGACCTTCCTGTTCATTTCCGCTTCGTTGCCACTCCTGGGCAGCACATGCCTGCCCTAGTTTTCCTTTCACCACAAGACTTTTGGCGTCATCCAGAAAACCAAGACTACATGCCCATGTGCACGCGGTCCACATGATGCCTCACCCACTGGGTCACCTTCCTCAGAAAAAGTTGTCACTGTGTCCTCCCATTTTTCACACTTCCAATTCTCCAGTTTGACCAGTCAGGCGTCCTCAAACTACAGCACGCGGGCCACATGCAGCCCGCCGAGGACATTTATCTGGCCTGCCGGGTGTTTTTGCCCCGTTTGTTTTTTTACTTCAAAATAAGATATGTGTGGTGTGCATAGGTATTTGTTCATAGTTTTTTTTAAACTATAGTCCCGCCCTCCAGCGGCTCTGAGGGACAGTGAACTGGCCCCTGTTTAAAAAGTTTGAGGACCCCTGAAATACTTCTCAAATCTGTTCCCTCGTCTTCAGCCCTACTATTAGAGTTCAGCTCCTCTTCATCACCAGCCTGCACTGTTGCCCCAGGCTCCTAACTTATCTCTAGTGTTGCTGCCTCTGGTACATTCTCCAACTAGCCCTGTTAGTGGTGCCCTCTTCTTAAGGCCCTCGCACCATCTCAACACTGCTCCAGGAAAAACCTCAATCTCATAGCCTGGCACTGGAGACTTTTCAAGAGTGCACAGTCCCAGCCCCAGCCCCTGATTCCTGCAGAGACCTGGAATGTCTGCCTTCCCCGTTACCTGAACTAATTTCTATGCCACCACCGCGGAAGGCAGAGCTCTGCTGGTTTCCCTCCTTCCCTGGAAGGCCTTCCTGAGCAGCAAATACCCCAATATGTCAGACTGTAGTATGAACTTCTCCGGGTGTTCCCAGTACAACCTGTGTGCACCTCCATCATGGCACTTGTCGAATTGTGTGATTTTTGTCTGGTAAAGTTTCCCTCTTAATGAATGCCTGGCCAAAAGAGACCATTTCTGATTTATTGTTGCATCCCTGATGCCTAGGGGTGCTTGAAAAATATTTTGAATAAACATAAATAAAATATAAATGTAATAACATTCTAATAAATGTTGAACAAATTTGTTTTTACCCACTATCTTTTAATGAGAGTTTTTGGCATACAGAAATTTTTTGAAATATACAGTGAACTCCATCACCCAGATCTTAAAATGGTCATTTTGCTTCATTTGCTTTATCACAAATCAGTCCAACTAATCGATTCTCATTCATCTTTTTTTTAATGCATTCAAAGTTCATTGCAGACATCAGTACCCTGCCTCCCTAAACACTTCGTGACTATCTAATAACTAGAGTTTAAGTTAGGTCAACCACTTTGATTGAAAGGACAGTCATTTCAATGAGCAAGATGACCCGTGGGATGCTCCCCAGTGGGGTCATCAAGATGAGATAGTGTATGGCAGGGATGTCATGAAAGCATTCGGAACAGAAATTCAGCCTAAGGGTCATCTACAGTGCGTGCCACAAGTTTATTCTGCTTGCTTCCAAGCAGAGACCAAGATGGTACCACGGGCCCGCAGTAGGAAGAATGCAGATGCATGGCTGTCTGCTGTCCTGCTGGCTTTGAAAGTGAAGGTTTCTTATGCTAACCCTTTCCTACTCTCTCATCTGGCTCCTCCTAGCCAGAGTCACTGTGCATCAGGCGATTGTCCTGAAGAAAGAATATAAGCTGGATGACCCCAAGAGGGGACACTACCAGTCCACAAAAAAAAAATGGTGGAAGCCCTCTGAGCACTTGAGATAAAAGCGGCTTTATATGCTGACGATGGAGACGACCCCACCCCCTAGGAACACCCAGACCAGCCTGTAGACTCAGACCAAAGTGGGCCGCATCGCAGCACCCACTCCCCACCTCAGCTGGTGTCCAGTTGTATATACACGCTGTACAACTATATCCCACAGCCAGACTGGCTGACACATTGAGAAACCACATCCATTTCAAAAAAGAGTAAGTTACAAAAGATAAACTTAATCCAGAACATGAGATTCCTCTAAAATTATTTGTGAACAAGTTGTCGTCTCTCCTGTCTGCCCTTTACTCTCACTACAGTTTGTGCCAGGTGTCCTCGAGGTGCCAGGGGTACAGTGATGTGCAGAAACCAAAGCTGGATCCATCCCTGCTCTCTCCGAGCTTATAGCCCACTGAGGGTGAAGGCCACTGGTTCAATCATTATACCAGTAAACGTGTCATCACTCCAGTGCTGCCAAAGCAAGCTCAATAAACGTGTGCTTACAAGCTGAGGTCAGTGTTCCTGGGCAAGGTAAGTCCTACGTACGTCTGTGTATAGACCTGGACCCAGCCCAGGGGTCTGGAAGAAGTACTCCACAACCTGGGATTAGAAAGAGAGGCAGCGAAAACAAGAAAGAAAGAAAATAAGGCAGCCATTATGGACCCAAGCAGTGAGCAGTGGAGAGGGGAGATCATTCCAGTCTGAGGGAATAGCACCTGCAAAGTGGAGGGAGCATGGCATAGACAGATGCTAAACAGATCCCAGATGACCCAAGTGCAAGTGAGGAAAGGGGTGGGGGTTGGGGGGAGGCCTAGGTACTAGGCCAGGAGGGCATTTTGGTCTTTTTTAAGCCCCATGGAATCCACTGAGATCATTCCAAGAGACTGATGGGATCAGACTTGCATTTGAAAAGCACAGCCCAGTCTTGGTGTGGAGGAAAGTGGGAGGCACAAGAGTGAGACGAGGTTTGATTGGCCTAGGTGGAAGGTGATGATAGCTTGGAACTGAAATTAAAGTTGTCCCAGGGAAGAGGACAGTAAGTGGGGCACTTAAAATGACATTTAGGATATAAAATGGATGCGTTCAGACATGCCTGAGTGAGGCATCAAGGGTACTCACTTGTATTGCAGAGGGTGGGAGAACACTGGGGCGATCATGACGCTGGTGCCCAGAGGACATGCGATCGGTCTTGGCCATGTTGAGTATTGCCATGGACCTCGGGATGTTAATGTTGAATAGATCATGAAAAACACAGATCTCCGTCAAAGCAAACACCTGGGGTAGGAAAGTCAATCTTGAAGGCACCATCCTATGGAGAAGGCAGCCAGGACTGTGGATGAAACTGCACCAGGGGAGGCATGGGGCACTGAACACAGAGGGTGTGATGACGGGTACTGCTGCTTCTGGGGGCTGCTTCCCCCATGTGGTCATAGCATTCTTGAACTGCCAAACTCACTGTCAATGCCATCTTAGGACAACCCACACTGAAGGTCAGACACAAATTCCTTTGTAGAGAGCCACCTTCCTAGTTTTCACTCACACTTTGAACATTTCTCATAAGATCATGGGAATTTATGAATGACCCTGCTATATTACATTAGATCTCATACTGATAGAAAATAATTCTAGAAATAACTTTTTAGAAGTAAAATTTCAGATATGCGAATTAAAATCATTTATATTAAATATTGCAAAACTATTGAAAAGGGTATCAAGATTAGACGTGATGCTGCATGTGACCACCGTGCAGTTTACCTTGCTATTGAATAGTGAATACAACCAACGACTCGGGAGCCTAACAATCACGGGAACCACAGTTAATGGAACTCTGATGTATGATGAGAACAGTGGAAGGGGCGATTAACACAGACAGGCATTGGAGAAGGGATTCCCAGGGGCCGTAGTATCTATGCTGAGGCCAGGGATAGCCAAGATGTATTCAGGCAAGAAATAAAAGGTAGGGGGAGAAAAGAGTATTTCAGAAAAAATAAATGGCTTATCCCAAGGCTGGCAGAAAAAGAGAGAGCAAGGCTATTACAGAAACTAAAGGAAGGTCAATACAGTTACCAGTGGGAGGTAAAACCAATCAAAGATAGATCATGCCCTGTTATAGAAAGTGAAATTAGTCCAAGAGCAAAGGGGAGCCACCAAGGGCCTTAAAGCAAGTGAGTGACCTAATAAGTGTATGCTTTGTAAAAGCCATTTCTGCTTCCACTTTTAGTAACTTTTTGTTTCA